TTAAAAAGGGAAGACATCGAACAGCCATGCAAAATAAGAAAAGAGAAGAAGAGAAAGAAAAAGGGGATGAAGAAGATATTCGTTTAATACGAAAAGAAAAAAAGTAGAAACAGCGTTGCGCGTAGATCGAAAACAAACGAAAGTGTTGGAGAAACTGGCTGGTTACAGGTGCAACGGTGCATCTGCCTTGAGAAAAAAATAAACCTCCAAGGAAGTTAAACATTATCTAAATGGTTGAAGAATGATCGCGAACGCGAAGAGAAAATCAGAGGAGGTGGTAGCGCGCGTTCTTGCAAGGACTCGGTGGCGGTCGCAACAGATTTATCGAGCTGAGCGTTTTCTGCACTTGGCCCCTTTGCTTCGAAAGAATTTCGGTCACGGCCCTCTTGCGCCATTAGCCTCCGCGGCACGGTAGTCGTTAATACGGCTGTTTCTGTGCGGCGACCGTAGCCAAGTGTGCGTGCAACGTCTGTGAACAGGTGAGTCGCGCGTGTGTGCAGCAACCAGACGACGTAGCCACGTTCTGTCTTCTACCTGCTTACACTGCTTTCGACCACGAGCTGAACCTGTTTTCCGCGCGACCACAGGTCCACGCTGTGTCGTTTCAAAGCCAACCGATGTTCCTTATCGCGACACTTACCTCTGTCGTTAAATCATCCCCTCTTAAAATATCATTTAGCTGTCCTTCGGTGATTTCTGTTAGTCATTCAGCTACCCGGTTTCAATTAATTAAAATATACGTACGCGATAACGCTTCAGTCCTTTACGAGATATTTTAGGTTTTTCATCGAAATAAACGAAAGAAATGAACGCCTACATTGTGGTAATATTTCGAGTAATTAGAAGAGACGAAGAGCTGATAGGTTTTTCACCCGGTTGTCATTGCCATTGCTAGAGGAAACCCGTACCTTTGATACCCATATACCAGTACACGCACACGCGCGTGCCTCGAAATGCACGCACGATGAACACCGCGAGCAGTGCATTGTAATTCGTCACAATGACTGCACATCCTGGTGTACTAGTCTTTGGCACAGGTGCGCGATTACCCTACGTGTCAACGACAGCCGAACGCCGCCTCTGACTGGTACGTTCGTCTAGTTGCACACCATTCTGCATACGCCAACTTTGGAAAGCGACACGATTTTAAATGGTATATTTCGCGAATCTCGTTCAGCTTAGGTGAAACAAAATTCAGACGTTTCGTCGAAATTGTTCTCTGTTCCCCGACCTTCGGATAGTTGGTTAAATCATACCGATATATCTTTCGATTTACAATTCTACTTTAAGGGCAATGTTTTGTTATGCTCGTCGCCAGCATTCGTATTCATCGCGTCGAATTTAACACATTCCACGCACACGGTGATAGTACGGCAACTTGTGACGCGGTTTGCGGCTAACATCTAAATAGGATGCATGTTCTAAACTGAATAAAACAATCGGCAGTTGTACCTATCTAACGTATTGACTCGAGACTTTTCGAACTAACACGAAACAAACTAAATTAACCTAATACCGTAGGACTCTGTTTATACGTATATACGTTGATTATTTCAAGGAAATAGTAACCGATCTGGTATTCGTATCGCTTGATTTTACTGGTTGAATCTATTTACATAAATCTAAACAACTCCTATTATATGAGTAAAACGTCATAACGAGTAAGAAAAATGAATGAAATCCAATGATATAAACTATTTGTCTTACAATCAGTTCATATAAAGCAACATTCATTGTGGTTTTGAGAAAAGAGCAAGAGATTTTTCTTCGCCGAATATATCCAAAGTGTTGCTAAGAAATGAAGAAATCATCGAACTCGGATCAATTTTAAATATGCAACTGCTCATTCATAAGTTGTATTCTTCGCGAGCGCTATTTCGCTTATAGTCCTTTTCCCAACCGACGATAAATCTTAGCGCAAGCAGCAAAACGTTCGATAAGAATTCTGATTCAAGGAATGTGAGAGTTTGATTTTTCCCGGTCGCTTTTCTATTTACGACTTCGAACCGGCCACGTCCTTCTATCACTCCCTCTCTATCGACCCGGCACGAGATTCTAACACCGGTACGCGGAGCTCGCCTTGGCCGTCGTGGAATTACAGACATTGACGATCGACTCGTGAGCGTTCCCGTGCTCCGACGTTGCGCAATTCGCGCGAGAACCGTGCGAAACTTGAAAATTCTTATTGTAACGCGTTGCGTAATATCGTGTAACGCCTGCGTGACCAAATTGAACCGTAATAAGTGAAACGTGCGTAAAAAAGAGCTACGTTCTCAATGAATGCTTCCTTCGTGCTTGAACCTGTTCCTTTTTTTGCAGCCAATTACGCAAATTTCATTCGATATCTTTCGTCTATTCGCGTGTAACAGCTCAAAAGAAACAGAAACCAACGTCGTTTTAAATTATATTTGATAAAATTATTTGAAATTTTATTTGAATCATTCCCTTGGATATTACTTATACTTTGATGTGAAACCAATTTCAGATTTTATATTTGAAGGATACGAATTAAAAGAATTTTGTATATCGATATAGAATGAATATTATTCGATCAATGAGATAACTATGATATGTCAGCGTACGCATGTTAAGTATACGGTTAAACTATGCTACGACGAAGCGCGTGAAAAGTATAGTGACGTCCCGCGTATGCGGGCATCGAAGTCTCCGGCTCGAACGTGGAAGTGGCTCGTCGAGCATTAGAAATCTCTGCGCGATGCGTAAATATGAAGATACGTCTAGAAAAACTCTGCACGCGTTTTGCATACACGTCGAGTGCTTTCATCGTCACGTCAACGCGTCAGACTATTCCAGCACAGATTGTCGTTCTGATAAATCATTGAATCTCATCTAACGGGTAGACGCAATAAATCTACTAAGTACGACGACTTTAGCCGTATTAATATTCAATGGTCTCTTTATCTTTAGCTGTTAACGGTACATTGATGCCAGCTCGAAGGTGTAACGATTGCTCCGCATTATCAAGGATAAATCTTTGAGTCAACGTTTTGCGATCCATATGCAGTGCATTAAAATGAATTTTTTACGGCACAATTGAATTAAAGTTGAAAGAGAAAATCGATGTATCGTTATCGAACTCTTACCGAGCGGCGCCGAATTAAGACAAATTTCAGATTAACTGAATGCGCGTCCGCGTCTCTACACCGGTCGGTGTTATCTCGTCGATTTTTCGCGTTATTTCGCGAAATTAATGTCGTCAAATGTACGGTAAAGCAAATTTACAATTGCACGAAGGACGGCAGTCATTGCTAATGAACGTCGAATAATTTCGTCTGATTTATCGCGTGATAATCGAGAAACGCAAGTAAGCGTTTCTGTTGACAGCGAGTTGCTAGGATCTTAGGATCCCTTTCGGTTATCGAGGTATAGTTGCGCTTATTTTGTTCCTTTGAGGATGGCAAACTTACGCGTTCTGGGTTTCGTACGTTTAATTGATATACGAGCTGCTTAATGAGTAACGTCGTCGGAAAGTAAATTTGCACCTGCGGCGCGTGATAATCGATACGAGGCCATCGACATCCAACTCTCGAAACGACCGACCGTGTCCGTGATGCGAGAGAAAAAAGAAGGAGTGACGAAAAAGAAGAACCGGTTCCAGTCATTTTTCTAAACCAGTTTAGGACCAACTTCGTCGGTCTGTCTACTCACTATACCGTTGTAAAAGAACCGCGTCGGGCTATCATCTCGCGCTATGCTACCGAATAGGCGCCCCAGGCTAAAAAGCCAATTAACCTGTCTTCCAATCAATTACATAACTGGAAATCAATATCGATATCGCACTTGAAATATTTAAAACACGAAATTCTATATATATAGTACGTAAAAGTTACGAATGTGACACGTGTACATTATTGGTTTGTTTTGCTTGAAATAATGCTCGAGCGATTTAATAACACTTTTAGTATATGTGCAGTTTCCCCGTGAAAATTTATTTTCTTGTTTAATTTAAAGTTCGTTGAAATGATATTGCGTACAATGCGCGATAAATGTACATGTCGTTTACGTATTACACCTTTCTTTGGTAATAACCGTTACAAAGAGTAAGTTGACAAGCGTTAAAACAGAGATAGGATCGCTACGAAATCTATAATAATAATCGGATCTTAGCTTCAGTTTCTTTTTTAGACTGATGGATTATTTTTTATGATTACTATTGGTTTGATTATATGATATACAGCAATCATATGTTACTGAAAGAAAATTCCATTTCGTACATAAATTTAATCAAGCTGAATAACTTTTAGATAAGGAAAGACAAACTGATAATTGATATGAACTTGTAAACAGTGAAAAAAAGTGTTAGTTTTCGAACGTTGATGCAGATGACTAACGATGAAACAATAACGCGTTATACGAAATGCGAGATAATGATAGCGTTGCAAATCAAATTTGCAAACGTACTCCTAAATTGCAACGGCACCTGTGCGTCCGACTCATGTGCACCTGCGGGGTTGCCCTAAAATATTCTCGGGTACGCACTTCTTTTTTTCCATGAGAGAGCCGAGTGTAAAAAAGTAGTCTAACCAAGTCGAAGAAAACCGAGAATTTTAATGAACTACCGAAACCGGCTTCGCAATCTTCTCGGCGGATCGACATTCATCACGACAGGGAGAAATTGTTATAATTTCTCGCGAGGTCATCGTCCAAATTTGCATCGCGATCTCTGCCAGAAAGACATCGATCTGTCACAAAACTTGACAACTCGGAATGCATAGAAGATATATAGATATTTTATGAAATGTCGCAGCTGTGATGTATTAAAAAGATATATTCATGATAAAAATATTTTGGCACTCGTTTCTATTTTCAAAATTTGTATCTTTCATTATTAACTCGACGAATTTTGTACATAAAATTTGCTAAAGCGATTTCGCTAAAAATTTGCTAAAAATTTGCTAATTTAGTTTCCCAGTTGAAACGAAAGCTGTACATTTCTCGGTATCAAGAGGAGCTAATTAAAATAAGGGAAGTATACTTACACTGATGCTTATTCACAATGAGACTGAGAGGTTCGGCACCATTAGTCGATGAATTCTTCCCGGCGTGGTGTGCCTCTAATAGTCTCAATTGTTGTTGATGCAATCGATTCTTGATTAGAAAAATTTTCGGCATTCTGCTGAACCTTAGCGCATGTTAACGTGACACTTCACCCTAAGGCTTCAGGCACCATTCCCATGGTCGGCCACAGTTGCGTTCTTCAGAGACATCAACCACACTAATCACTTCTGGGTATCTCTCGAAGTGTCTTCTCGTCTCTTAGGACGTAATTCTAGTGACGATCAGTGATCACTGATTCTGTTGGAAAGAACCGCAATATACGGCGAAGTGTTACACTTGGTTACAAAACGAAATTTCAAGTTTGCAGTGGTGTCAATGGTTCTAGTTGCGAGCTAGACGTACTTACACTTCTGATTAAAATCCACCTTGAGAAAAAGAAATATCTTGAATATTAACCAGCGAATTTTCGGATCACTTCGGTTTCCGCGATAGTCACTATTAACAACGATACACGCCAATCGCGAAGTCCAGAGATAGATTAGCCTCTCTGTTCTCGGTTAGTCCAAGGTAAAACTTCGTCTTTCTTTGTCGCGGATTTACAGTTATCTTCGACACGGAGCACAGATTGAGCGAGCACACATTAACGGTCGAACTCTAGCGATCAACTGAAACTTCGTTGCTTCTTCGCTCGGTCGGGGCCTTGTCCCCACCACCGACTGGATCTCTCCCCACTTTGCTACCCTACCAACAGGCCCCACTTTCCCCACTCCAGCGCGGCTGGCGTGCTTTACAGCCCATTCGGATTATTTGGTCGCTTTAGCAGTGTGCGGGGTCCGCTGTGGCGCGCGGTGTCCTGTTGGAGATGGAAACCGCTCGTGGGACTGCGCATGCGCGTAACGGAGCATCGTACGTGTGCTGAAGCGTACGAGGTCCCTCTCCTCTCCTCTGCCACTCCTCTCGCACCGGTTCCCTCCCTCGTCTCGTGTTCGCGTCTCTTTTTAACAGAGACGCGTTTTATAGTTTTATCCTGACCGTGTCTCGTCTCTTTTCTTCTTTTTACCTTTTTCTTATCCTCTTCCTTTTATTCTTTTACTGCTCCGTTGTATATTGTCTTTACGGTGGTCAATTTGTTCGTCACCCGGGACACGGGTTGATATTTTTTGTACACTTTTCTCTTTTTGCGGTAAATGCGTGAACGCGGTCGCGCCGACGCACTACCGGTTTTTCATTCACACAGCGCAGCGGGTTGTTCAAAATTGTCCCCGTTCCTGCGAAAAGTCGTTGATGCACGGTCTCGGAACAAACGATCGTCGTTCTAGATACATACGAGCTTTTCTCGAGATCGTGAACAACGATGCACAGCACTTCCGTGAGGATGACCGACGAATATTTCAGCGCGCTAAAGTTATTAACATGTACAACAAAGAAGAATGGAACAACTTTCTCGGATCTACACTATCCGTGCGATTCGTTGCAGTTGCACGCACGATTCTTCAGTAAACAACCTAGGTACGTATTTGTATACTGGTTCATAATGGACTTAACTCATTGTTAAAGGTACTCTATCCATTATGTACACATAGAGGCTTAGGTTTGAATCATGTTGTTGTGCTATAGGCACCTAACTACGTATCTATAGGGTGTTTTAAGCGTGAGTAAATTTATTACAATCTTTATTACATAAATAGAAAAATGAATACGACGTAAAATCAGATTTAAAGAAGCGTTAAAATTACTTCGAATAAAAAGCTTTAAAGGTCCTTTAAGTTTGGTACAATATAATAATTTTAATATTAAAAATATAAAAGATACGTTGTCAGAACTGGAATAAAAACGTTCTGTGGAAACATGTCACAGATGTTGCGTAATATTCGTAATACGATATTGCATGTAAAAAGCGATTACATATTCGCATTTACTACGTTCGAGTATTAGACGCGATGCGAGTATTTGACAATATTTCCTATCGAATCGTTGGCCATTAATATAAGCTTTTCGATAAAGGACATTGTACTTTATGGATACCTAAGAATTTGCATATTGTCGGAACCTTCAGTTACGTTTCTCTTAAAACTTCAGATCAAGGAGAGTCAGGAAAACCGCAACTATTAAACATTGCATGAAACTTGTGACACCGGTTAACGATTATTATTTATTAAATATTATTAACGATTTCATGGACAGTTCTCGTCACAGTCTTGTTTCCTGTTTCTTACACTGACTGACTGACTGACTCAATTCACAGGGACTTGAGATGTCCACAGAACTGTCGTAAGAACAATATCGACCAGATGATGAGAGTCTTTAATATCACGGAAACGTTAATATCGAGGGTCACGCGCTTAGAAATTAATTAAAAGGAAGGATTACAAAGACAGAAAGGAAGAGAGAAATAAGACAGCGAAGAGCATGAACGAGTGAAATCTTTTCGATTTTTTCTTCTGGAGTTGAAAAACGTTCGAAGCGATAGGTTTCGTGGAAATTTTCTCACTTGGGATAGAAACACTTGTTCGAATTTAGACCAAGAAACGTCAACTTTGAATTATGCCCTTGGCCGCAGCACGAATTCGGCAGGTATCTTTAAATCTTGCTGCATTTCGTATGGGAAACGCAAGATTACAAGAAAAAATCCAGTAGAGGTTTGGATGTTTACGACCTTCTTCACGGGAGACACGCGTCCCCAAGATGGAATCTCGGGCAACGCGTAGGGGCCATGCAAAGATTTTTCTCCCGATTGTAGTCTCAGGAGAATCGCTGAAAATGTGAAAAAATTCGAACACGAATAATTCATTCCTCCGGAGAATCACTTTTTCTTCTACCAAGCGTTGTTTCAATGAAAATTCTAACGAATCGCAAATATTATTGTATTCTAATTGTTCGAATCGATGAGTTTTTTAACACAAACGAAGTTAAGATACAGAGTAAACGTATTTTGGGAATGTATCATGTTGTGACTTTGAGATGAATGTTTGAGGGCAGGGTTCTTTTCGAAATGAGATGTAAAGAACAGGTAACAGAAGTTAAGACACTAAGGAAGAAATCATCTTTGTATCTTTTGTCAGGCGCATAAAATGTTCTTCCTGTTCGATAGAAAGAAATGTCAGAAGATCTATTCGACTCGATCTGGCATCGTATTATAAAAATGCATAAATTAAAAGTCTATCAATACTACGTGTATTAGGATATGGAAAAGCAGAAAAATTGTACAGTTATACAATATCGTTATCTGCATATGACTTTTTTCTTTCTGTGCACATTTTCCTTATATTATTTGAATCGATAGCTTTTTCTTAACAATGAAAAACAACGAAAAAAGTAATTCATATTTTCCCTCAAATTAGAACAATATTATGCAAAGTACAAAGCTGTTATTTGTTTTATTCCGTTTACAGGCTAAAAGATCAACAAACCATTTACCTATGAGAATTTATTCGTACATATTCTCTTTATTTTACGATCATGCAAAATCCTATTTGCATTTCAGAGCCTGTTAATTCTACAATTGCTTCGTGAACGTACTAGAATATGCAACTTTTAACACAAAGGTGTCTACGAAGTAGCGTCACTAGCTTCATTCCTTTTTTATTCCTTATAATTATTTATACTATGGTATGAAGCTTACTGTGTAAAATATATAATCTAACAAAAATAACGTACATAGGTTGACTTGTTGTATAAGCATGAGATCCATTAATTCCTACAATGAAATCTCACATAACACATCGGGACATTTGTAAATAAAATGAACGCCTAAATTAACGTATCACTCAGCATATTCGCATAATAATTTATTACGCTTACTCTCGTTAAACATTGCTGTTTATCTTTGGAAATCAAGATAAAAGATTCCAAGATTAAAAAAATTGTTTTCTATTAGTAGGAAAATACCTAGAACAGTTATAATTAGCAAGGTATTTTTATCTCGCGAATTTAACTTTTAGTCATATTGCGTCATATCATTTCGGATATTTACCGATATTAGTTAATTATCAAAGACTTGAGAAAAATCGTAAACATCGCCTTTAGGCACTAATTTTTCCACAGGCGACTTTACGATGGTAGAGTCAATTAAGAGGACGCTAATCTATTGCTCCTGAACGAGTATCGATCGGTACGATTTTCGGCAACTTAACAGAAGTATCTGCGAATTCATCAAAAGTGGTCCAGCAAGAAGAGAGCGCCTACTTTCTCTTCTCGAACTCTCATTAATTCACCGATCGCCGATTTACCCACGTCTTTCTTCATCTTTTACCAGAACTTCGCTTCTTCTTAATCATTACCGCGTGAGGACTATGCATTCGATTGCTTCCCTATAGCAGATATGTAACAACGATCAAACAAATGATCGACTATCTTTCGAAATCGATGTTAATATGTTCTTCGTTATTTCCCATATTTTTTAAACGATAAGAAATGAGAAGCTAATGGAAATATACAAACGTAAAACGAAAATAATGTCTCTACAATGTTCCAAGTTTTGAAGATATCCTACCGTCAAGGTTACGTATTAATAAATTACAGTTACAATCTCTGTACTGTCAATTTCAAATTACCCTGAAGATCGAAGTGATAAACAGTTTCCTCCGTAATAAGCGATAAATATCAAATCAGGTGCTCTTACTCTATTCGAATCAACCGTACGCTATCCTATCTACGTATAATTAGATAATTTCCAATTCTGGCGATAAATTATATGAACGGTAAAAAAGTGGCAGCAAATATAAACATGAATCGTCCTGGTTATTGGTATAGACAAGGTCCATTTAAAGCTGTCTCGGTGTTCCCTCAGCAAGTAAGAAGAGAAAGAAGAGAGATAGAACATACCGCAGAGCCATGTAATAGCTAGCAAAGCTACGTCTCGAACGACTATACACGGCTTGCGAAACCGTTCGTCGTTGACTGGCGTCGTTACTTGGTCGTGATCGTGGTTGTAATCAAGAGTCAAAGTCAAGGTCGAGATCGAGGCGAGAGAAACACTTATGCAACTCTTGTTGCCTACCGTTCGCTGCAACCGACCGCGGTAGCGGCAAGCAAAATGGTGGGGATCGGTTGCAGCAGCACGGTGACCGGCCACGCCGGCAAACAGGTATGAAAGAACTGTTACGTATTCCCGGGAAAACTTAACGCCGAGAGACGCACCGAAGAAACGGAGAACGGAATGAGATGGAACGATCGACCGCATCGCGCTAATAAACCTTCTTCCATGTGGCCACGCGTCGTTCGACGTCAATTAATCTTTACGTCGTTCGCTGACACATGCTCCTCCTATTGCTTTTATGGGCCGTGCAGGATAATCTCTTGGCTAGAGTATCGCGCTCGTCTAACGAGGTCGTTCGGTTTTTAACGAGAAACACATTTCTCAGAGCTCCACGTTTCGCAACAACCAAAATTCTCTTCGAACGAAGCTTTTACTTCGAAGCAATGGGTATGCAAAACGGGGAGAATTTCTAGTGAATAGTTTCCGAAATATATTCCATGTTCGTATTCCATATCTAGCACGCACAAAAGTATTTAAATAGCGTCGCTGCGCATTTGCGTAGTTATACAATGGTGATCGAATATCCTTACGCATAAATGTTCTGTTCTTCAATATCGGTGCGTGAATTACCTTGATCCTTAGTGACAACAGGTAACACGTTATTCCATATAGAAACGTAATTACACAGAATTCAGGATAC